TACTAATATTAAAATTAATATTATTTTTTATATTATATATATTTATGATAAAAAAAACTTTTAATCTATACTCTAAAAGCATAAATTTAAAAAAAAAAATTGTGTGAAGAAAAAACCCTTCTACAAGATGTTAGAAGTGGTTGTATATTTTCATTTATATACAATTACAATACAAAATTTAAATGTTAATTAAACCATAATTTTAAAAATAGTCGTTCATCAATAATCACTCAATATTTTAATTTTAATCTTTAATACTTGATTGAGTCTTGCTAGAAGTAACCGTTGCTGCTATAATCATGCACCAATGATTCTCATGATTTGCAACTTTAATAGTTGATTACGTCTTACGAAATCAATTGCTGGAATCTAGCGTGAGTCAATTAATTTCAATTTGTTTCAATTAATTGTGGACATTGCTTGAATCACGGACGGCATTTATACTAAATGATATTTGACGTTTATCAAATGTTTTTACACATCTAGGGGAGGTAAATTGCTGCCAAGTCCATTTATCAAATGTTTTTACACATCTAGGGGAGGTAAATTGCTGCCAAGTCCATTTATCAAATGTTTTTACACATCTAGGGGAGGTAAATTGCTGTCAAGTTTAAGGGTTTATTTGTTTTATTTTTAATTTTTAAAGACTTAAATATTATTTTAAGATAAATTTGAGGGCTTAATAAGGGTTTAAGCAAAAATCCAATATAAATTTTAATTCAATAAGTAAAACTTTTATTTACAAGACTTTTAATAAATTAATATATTATTTTTGTACCATGTAAGATAGGATAAACTACAAAACCTCTAAATTTTTTTAATACAAAAGATTTTAGCTCTAGAAAAAGTACAAATAATTACTGCTAATTTTAATTGCAATAATTTTTTAAATTATTTTTGGACTAATAAATATAGAAGATGGAATAACAAATACTAAATTTTTACTATTTTTACAATAATTCAAGCAAATAAAAAATGTTTTACAATTATAAAAACTAATCTGAGTCTAAACTAAAACTGCTTTTAGTAATTAGATTTTTTGATTGGTCAGAAGGTAAAAAGGTTAGAATGTAAGTCTTATGTAAGGCATAACATATTTTTTAATAATTAATTTTTATTGAAAATATAAATATTGATTTTGATTTAATTAATTAATTAATTAAAATAATTTATGTTTTAATAATATTAAAATAAATATCAATTTTTATAATTTTTATATAAATTAATTAAAAAATTATATTTATTGTATTCTTAATTTATATTCCTGTTTATAAATGCTCTTCTAAATTTTTTTTAAAAAATTTTCCCCTGCTCAGTTTCCCTATGAGTTTAATAAAACATTTATAGAACAATTATTTTCCTGTCAACAAAGGCAATACAGGTTGTTCCCCCTCACGTACTCTCACAATTTGGGAATAAGTATAAACAAAGACATAAATTTTATATTTTTATTTAAATATATTAATTTTATTAATTTTTAAATAAATATATTAATTTTTTATTTAAAAATTAATAAAATTAATATTATTTAATAAAAAAAATACAAAATTAATATTCTTTTTAACAGTTTTTCTCCTCACAATTAAAGTCAAACTCATCTGCGGTTGTAAGTATCAAGGCTGGAATATTTCCAAATCATGGTGGTCACAGGGGGTTAGTTGAATCCAACGATTTCTTGCATCTCGAGACAATATTATACTAATACTACTGACATTTATTTAAAGCAAACCGCGTCTTTGATTAGTTTTAGGGGCCGTATTATTTAAATTTTAAAGCAAACCACATCTTGATGGAGTCAACGGCGTTGTTGCACTCCCGTAATCTGTCCGGGCGCCATTAGTGTGTGTTTGGTTCGAAAGAAAAGGAGATATAATTTTTCTAATTAATTAAATTATAATATTAAAAAATAAAAAAAATTTAATTAATTAAAAAAATTTATCCCTTAATTCTCTCAAACCTAATGTAATTAGTAAAGCTAGGTGTTATGTGATCACAAGTTGAAAAATAGTGACATATAGCTTCCCTAATTAAGAATGAGATACAACTTTTTTAATTATTTTTAGGTCTATTTTGGTGGGATCATGATTTACCTGATTAAAGAAAAAGTGAGATTGAGGAAGAGTTTTAGGGCATGTTTGGATCAGTTTTTAGGAGCTTCTGCTTTTGGACACTTCATGTTTTATAAATTTAAATTTTCTTCTTAAAAATATACATTTTTAAATATTATTTTAACCTTAAAAATACCTTAAATGGTAAAAATTCAAAAGTTTCAAATTCAAACTTTTCATAAATTTCTTTTTTACTCATTTTTTCTTATTTCTAAAAATAACTTTTAAATTTTTCCTCCAATAAAAATTTAAACTTATCACTCATAATAGTACTCAAAAAACAAAAACTCTCACAAGCCACACCAAATAAGCTCTTAGTTTGTTGAAATACAGCTTTGTTTTTTGTCTTCCACATTAGATGCTAACTTGTTAAGGATGTTTTCAGCACTAACAAATGTTGAGCATTTCCTTTTTTCTTCTTGAAGCATGTAGAACATATCTTGAAAGCATATAAAATTTTACTATAAATATTTTGTGATATTTCAAGCATTCAGTTTCTTTTTCTTTTTCTTTTTTTTTTTAATGACGTTTGCCCTTAGCTTATTCTAAACATTACATTTCCTAATGTTTATAAGGCACCATATGAAGATATATTTCTGCATATTTTGTCTAACTTGTAGGTTGTCGTATTTCCTTATTTAAAAAATGTGTTGCAAATTGCATTAGGGTGGATAATTTAATTTAGTAGATGAGAATGAATTTTTAAAGGATTAAGTAAAATTAAGATATTTTAATAATTAAAATATTAAGATTGATAATAAAAAAAATTAAAATATTCTTAATAAATTAACACATTAAAA